GACTACAAAATACAGTATTTCCTCATATAGTACTGACGGCCATAAAATTTATCTTCTAATTTCCAAATTAAATTCGCCTAATCGGAATTCGGATCCGTGATTGAAATAAATAAAATTTGAAATTATGTATATTCGAACTCAGCACACGTACATATTGGTAAAAATCAAAACATACTTAATATATATAAACAAATTAAAACAACTGAAGATATGTACCAAGGATCTAAAATTTACTGGTTCTGGAACTTCAAACAATTATTTATTTTATATCAGTAGGAGATTAAACGTTAAAATTAGATAAATGCTCTTAGCAAAGGCACATAAATAAATCAAAAATTTTTATCATCAATCAATTGTCTTGAGTTTTGTTAATTCATGATTTTAAGTCTTCGGTCAAAATTTTCTGTGCTGGACATCTCTAATGGTTAATTGTTGAAATATGAGTAAAATAATTGTATGTATCTTTATTTAATATAATTTATTTCATTATAAATTTAATAAATTTTCGTTGCCCTTTCCAAAAATTATTTGAAGACTTATATGACGCTGGTGAAAATAAATGAAATAAATTTACTATTTGATAAGATCCGATAAGAGCAGATATTTTATCTTAACAATGTTTTATCTCTTATCATATGAATTAAAAAAAATTATTGAAAAAATTACTACAATTGGATCATGTCTCTTAGTCCTTTAATCTGCTTTGTTAATTGAGATAATTCGGATTTTTAGGGCCTAACCTTTCTGGATCATTTTTTAAATTTTTAATATATTCAAGTTTTAATTCTCTCTGTTGTAATTACAATATTTGTTTAGGTTCTGCATGGAGTGGTAAGGTTAAATTAGGAGTGATTAATAGGTTTATTAACGAGTAGTATTTTATTATAGCTAACAACTTAATTTTTCAAAATTTATCATGTGCCTCAAAATTTTACAAAAAACATTTCGTTAATTTCTTTTCGAGTTATTAGGGAGTCTAAAACTCCCTATCCAAAAATCATACGATTAAAATCTGTGAGCGACAATACTTCTTGGATTTATAGATTAAATTAAATTATAATTACACTATTAAATATTAAGTAAAATTAAGGTGTCCGGAAGTTTCGTCAACAGATAGTTTGATCAAACAATATTTTTATCAGAATAGTTTCGTCAGAGATCTTTTTTGTCAGTGTTACGTTCGTCGGAATTATTCTTTAATTACCTCTTAATTAAAATGTTTTTTGAAAAGAATGTTGTTGTACACTTTGTTTTAAAAATATAACCCACTTTTGATTTTTTACATTTTTCGATGTACAGTTGATGTATCTTTTTGAAATTTGGTATGTTGATTCCGTGGCGCGACATTTGGGGATCAGACTTTTGGGGACCCGACAGTTGGGGACCCGACTTTTAGGGACCCGACACTTAGGGACCCGACAATTGGGGACGAATTATAATTTTTAAAAAATTCGAAAATCTACCTAAAAGATTTGTCCAAAGTTTTTTTAAAATTCTATTTCGTCCCCAACTGTCGGGTCCCCAAAAGTCTGATCCCCAAATGTCGGATAGCCGTTGATTCAATTAACTAATCTACGGATATTCCCAAAGTTTCATAAAATTTTGCTCGATACAAAATTTTTAATTTTACTTTTGAAACAGAGTGTACATAATTTTATATTATTGAAAATCAAATGTAAAATCAGCACTCAAAGACTGCTGATTTTCTGATAATTAAAAAAGTTTACTTTTTTTAGTAAATTTTTTTTAATTTAGAAATATATTCATTACTAATTTTTTCCCATTACTAAATCCCGGGTTTTTTCAAGATACTTATCGTATATAACATTAAGTAATATTCAGGTTAATTTATAGATTAAATGATATGGAGAATGTAATGGAGGGATTTCGAGGATTTTTGTAGAAATTTTGGTGGTGTACAATATCTTAGGGAAGCTATTTTAAGAACGGGGAACTTGGGAGAACCGTTTTCTAACAAATTTTGACATTAACTTATATTCGTTATAGAATATCAGTTGATTTTTTATTTATTTATTTATTTATTTATTTACACCACTAGGGTGTGACAGTCAAAAATAAAACAATTTAAAGTGAAATTACGAAAAATAAAAATGCTAATAAAAAAATGTCCTTAAAATAAAAATCAAAGCAGCTTAGCAAATAAAATTATCTCATTTGTCATTTAAGATATTGGAAATATCCAACTGTTCAAGAAGTTTAGAAAACATTTTGGGTGTATTTTTTTTAATTTCTATAGGAATTAGTGAATAAATTCTAGCAGTTCGAACAAAAAAGGAGTTGTACCGAATCATGGTTGAACAACGTGTTGGTTGTATTTTATATTTTTCGCCCCTAGTTTTTGTTTGTTTTATGATATAGGAATTATTATGGTTAATTTTAATTTTCCCAAATATATTTTGATGAAATAGCTTTAAATCAGCTTTAAGTCTTCGACTTTCAAGGGATTCTACTTTGAAATGTTGTAAAAGTGTTTTGTATGGTGGAATATCTTCTATTTTTACCTTTGTGATTATTTTGTAAACAAATCTTAAATATCGTTTTTGTATGTTTTCTATTAATTTAATGTTTTTCTTAGTTAAAGAATTCCAAACCGGTGACCCAAATTCTATAATTGACCTTACGTATATATTAAATGCTTCTATAAGAATTTTAGGATCTTGTGATTTTAGAGATTTAATTAATGCATAGCAGTTTCTATTGGCCCTTAGAGATATTGTTTGAATATGTTTATTAAACTTGAATTTAGAAGTGAAGAAAATTCCGAGATCCCTATTCTTGTCTTCATTACTAATTTGGAATATTTTGTGGTTTCCTATTGAGTATTGTAATTTAGGGTTTGATTTACCTATATATAATACTGAGCATTTATTTAATGATATGTTGAGACCATTGGTGTTACAATATTGAATGAATTTATTAATAAATAATTGTAAAGAATTGTTAGATAAATCGGTTTTTTTTAGAATTTGATAGGCTTTGATGTCATCGGCAAATAATTTTATTTTTATTTCAGGAGTGTAACAGAATGTTGGTAAGTCCGATAAGTATATATTAAAAAGGAGCGGGCCTAAGATAGATCCTTGCGGAACTCCACTAGTAATAGAGAATTGTTCAGAATATTCATTTCCTATTTTAACAACAGATTTTCTGTTGTGTAAGTAATTAGAGATCCATTTTAAGAGTGATTTTTCAATTCCTATTACTTTTAGTTTTGTTAAAAGACGTTCATGGGGTATAGAATCAAAGGCTTTAGCTAGATCGAAATAAACTATGTTTATTAAATTTTTATTATCCAATGCAAATGATATATCATCTTGAACCTCAATTAGTTGGGTAGTGACGGATTTGTTTGGTCTGAATCCATGTTGACAATCTGGTAATATACCATTTTGTTCAACATAAATTGATATATGGTTTGCAATAATTTGTTCAATTACTTTTGTGATTGAACATAGTAATGAAATTGGGCGAAATTCTTCTATTTTGGGTATCTTTAATGTTTTTGGTATTGGTATTATTATACTTTGCTTCCATATTTCAGGAAGTGTTGAAGTCATTAATGAATAAGAAAAAATATAATATAAAGGATAATAAAGACTTTTAGCGCATTTTTTAAGGAATATACATGGTATTGAGTCATAAGAAGAGTTAGTTTTTTCAGGTAGCTTAGAAAGAAGATCAAAGATTTGAAGTTCATTTATGATTACGGATTGACATGTATTTTGATTTGTTATAGAGTTTAGATCTGCATTGTCTAATGAATTTTTATTAAATACAGAACTAAATTGGGTACTTAGAATTTGTGCTATTTTATTATCAGCGTATACTAATTGATTATTTTTATCCAAAATTGAAGTTATTTTCCTGTTTTTGGATTTAAGAAATGAAGAGATGTATGAGAATTTTTGACTGATAGTTTGTGTTTTATGCTTTTCTCTATTTTTTAAAAATTTGTTAGTTTCAGAATCTATTCTTTTTGATACATATGAGATTTTACGTGTTAGCTCTGGCGTGGATTTTTGTTTCCACAGATTTTTTAGATATAATGTCATTTTTTCAATGTGTTCGGGTTTTTTGAGATTGTTAGATTTTACTTTAGATTCGGGAACAAAGGAACAAATAACATTATGTATAATCGATTGGAAAGTGAAATATAGTTGATTTATATCAGAGCATTGTGTGAATACTAGATTCCAGTTTATTGTTGAGAAATGTGCATTAATTATTTCATAGTTAGCTTTACGAAAATTTGGATATGTATAATTATTATCTTGGTAATTGTTAGTAGAAGATATTTCAAATTCTATTGTATTATGGTCAGATTTACTTATAGGCGGATTGATTGTTATAGCCTTTATTAATTCATCCTCATTAGTTAATAGTAAGTCTAATATATTTACTCCTCTAGTGGGTTTATCAATTTTTTGTTTTAGTCCTAAACTTTGAATATATTCTAAAAATAATGTTTCTTTGGTATTTTTGGTTTGAGTACTATAATTTTCCCAATCGATATTGGGTAGGTTAAAGTCTCCTAATAAGATAAGTGGGTAGGATACAGCCGATATATCATACAAGATTTGCAAGATAGATTTAAAATCCTTAATGGTTTCTTTAGTGATTGATCTATAAATCAAAATAATACGAATTTTTTCATCTGGGGTTAATAAATCTATACAAGATATCTCTGATAAAGTTTGGGGGATTTCTATTTTAATAAATGGTATTTTATTTGATATAAATAAGCAAGTTCCTCCACCCCTACCATTGGCCCTATCAGTTCTGATAATATTATATGGGGTACCATGTAGTAAAAGATTATCATCAACTATATCAGTCAACCATGATTCAGTAACCCCTATTAACTTATAACGGTTTTCTAATAACAGAAAGTGTAAATTTGACAATTTGTTTTTTAAACTTCTTGAATTAAAATATAAAAAATTAATAGTATTTAATCTATTTAGATTATTTTTTTGAAGTCAGATTTTTTTATTTTTTCTAAAAATGTGAACCTCCGATCTTAGAATTACTGCTTCTCCATAAACTATCCAGTCCAATTGAGGGTTCTCCATTCTCTTCTTTTTGCACTCTTCAATTAGTTCCCTTCGTCGCTGTAATTGTTCTGGTGTCATTGAAGCACGCATATTGACTTGGGGGAAAGATTTCTTGCCATTTGTTTTCCATTTGTTGAGAAGTTCACGCTGAAATTTTCTGGATGGTAAAACAATCTTTAAAAGACGGGCATGACCATTATTGGGTGGGTTAGACTGACGTCCCATACGGTAAAAAAACCTGGGTGCGCACTCAACCCCCACCGAGTCGAGTAAACTTGTTATTGTTTTGGAGTCATCCGCCATTTTCTCTGATGGAAGTTTTTTTGTAGATTCCGTCAAACCAGTCACAACAACACTTCTTTCGCGCTCTAGCTCCTCTGCTGAAATAGTGTTTAATTTTGTTGTTCCTGAAAAATATCCATAAGGTTTTTCTTGTTGTTTTTCTTTAAGTGAATCGATTGATTTACTAAGAAGGTTAAATTGTTCAGTCAGAGTTTTAATAAAGTTTAATAAAATCGGAGTTTGCTCTGTTGTCATAGACGGAATAAAAGTATTGATTGTTGTTAGTGTTGTTTTCACCAAATTGACTTGACAATCAATAAGAAAATTAAGAGAATTTGGATTTTCGTTGTTGTTGCTATTATTGGAGAGAGGCGAAAAATTGGCCTCTGTTGCTGTCCGTTTTGCAGAAATTTTATTTGTAGACATTTTTCCATCAATTTCCATTTTTCCATCAATTTCCATTTTTTGTCAGTGTTACGTTCGTCGGAATTATTCTTTAATTACCTCTTAATTAAAATGTTTTTTGAAAAGAATGTTGTTGTACACTTTGTTTTAAAAATATAACCCACTTTTGATTTTTTACATTTTTCGATGTACAGTTGATGTATCTTTTTGAAATTTGGTATGTTGATTCCGTGGCGCGACATTTGGGGATCAGACTTTTGGGGACCCGACAGTTGGGGACCCGACTTTTAGGGACCCGACACTTAGGGACCCGACAATTGGGGACGAATTATAATTTTTAAAAAATTCGAAAATCTACCTAAAAGATTTGTCCAAAGTTTTTTTAAAATTCTATTTCGTCCCCAACTGTCGGGTCCCCAAAAGTCTGATCCCCAAATGTCGGATAGCCGTTGATTCAATTAACTAATCTACGGATATTCCCAAAGTTTCATAAAATTTTGCTCGATACAAAATTTTTAATTTTACTTTTGAAACAGAGTGTACATAATTTTATATTATTGAAAATCAAATGTAAAATCAGCACTCAAAGACTGCTGATTTTCTGATAATTAAAAAAGTTTACTTTTTTTAGTAAATTTTTTTTAATTTAGAAATATATTCATTACTAATTTTTTCCCATTACTAAATCCCGGGTTTTTTCAAGATACTTATCGTATATAACATTAAGTAATATTCAGGTTAATTTATAGATTAAATGATATGGAGAATGTAATGGAGGGATTTCGAGGATTTTTGTAGAAATTTTGGTGGTGTACAATATCTTAGGGAAGCTATTTTAAGAACGGGGAACTTGGGAGAACCGTTTTCTAACAAATTTTGACATTAACTTATATTCGTTATAGAATATCAGTTGATTTTTAAGAATTAAAAGGGATATCATGGTATTTTGTTGTTATAGGTATTTAAGCGATTTGATAATAATTAATCCCTAAATTTCATGTTATATCAAATCCCCTTAATTTCTGCAAACCCCAAGTTATTTTTTAAAGCCGGAATAAATGTCAAAACAAACCAAAATTATTGAAGTTATAGCTAAGGGTAAAAAATAAAGCAATAGTTGAAACAAGCAATAGTTGATATTCGATATAAAAATATCGGAAAATATTTAAAAAAGAGACTCGATATTTAAATTATGAGAGTGCTCAAACTTGCTTTGTGGACGTAAATGAATTTCAATAAATTTCATTTTGGATCAAAATTAGCTTTTCATAATATGTATTTCAACAAAAGTTTTATAAAGTAAAATTTAAAATATTTATTTGAATAAAGTTAGGTGGGGTTAGGGTTACTAACTTTTTTAGGTTTTTAGTTCATAAATTTATTTATCACATTTACACAGTATTATATTTTTCAATTAAAATTATCTATATTTAAATTAATTGTCTCTTATGTGCCGTTTTACAAGAAACTTACATATGTATATTTATAAAACGCGAATGGTTTTGATAGATTAATTAGATACATTTTAATAAATTGGGTTGGTCCTGTTGATAATAGACTATATTAAAATAAATTAAATATTTGTTCAAAGCTTGAGAATTTAGGTAATTTAAAATTTTTCAAAAGTTAAATACTTTCATAATCCAAAATTTTTTTCACTAAAAGAGAAGGATAAAGATAGGGATTCCGGTAATTAAATTTTTACTTTTCAAAATTATCACTGGAAAATAAAAATTCATTTGAAAAAATATTATTCAATTTTTGAGTTGATGAGAAAATGTGAAAAAAAATTTTGAAAAATAAGCTCTATGTTGAAATGAATATTAAATATGTAATTTTACTTAATATAATTTAATTGAATAAAAATTTAATTTATTTTCTTTGAAACGACCAATATAAATTTGTAGTGGAATAGTTTGTAAAAATGAAAAAAATATTTGAAATTCCTTGGAAAACTAAAAACGGTAATAAAGAGTGGTATGATAGATAGTCTTTTGAAAAATTAAAAAAATTTGTTTGAAATTGTTTATATTGAAATTTTGTTTTCTTACGTATTAATTAATATTAAGTAGATTTATTATAAAATTTTCAAATATTTTTTTAAGAATTTGAAAATTTTTTTCTCATCCTTAGTAAATGTCTAGGTACTTTTCCGTTATGACGTAACCCCATAAATTAATGTTCAAAATGTCATATATAGGGTAGAAAAAGGGGCTGAGTCGAACGGTACCACTCATTTTTCCCGGAGATGCATGTAGACCGAGATATAGGTCTTGAAATGGTTATTTCAGCGTTAAGTTTACTTAATATAATTTTAAGACAGCGTCCTGAAAAAAACTTTTTTTCTGAGGTCTAAAAAAGGAAAAAATCCAGAATAATAAATAAGGCTAAAATTCGATTTAAACAAGATTAAACGTGAACGGTGAGACCTTTTCGAGCCGTTTAAATAAAGACGCAGCTGAATTGTTTCAAATTTCTATAAATTTGTCGGACATTAAGCCGACTTCAAAAATAAATTCTGATACGAGTGACAAAGAATGACATACAAATTTTAAGTAAAATATAAATAATATTCTAATTGAAATAATTAATATTAAATAAAAATATTTCGATTTTAAACTCGTACAAAATTTGAAATATAAAAAATTGGCTTAGAAATCCTTTTGAGAAACAACAAACAATTTTTAATTTTAGAATTAAAAATTTGATTTAAAAAATTAAAATACTCCAATTTAAAATGATTTACCCCTCTCCACTTTTTCGTCCATAATTCGCCATTTTCATCAACTTCTATCACTGTTCTTAAGTGAATATATCGCCAAGAATAAAAATTAACAAAATATCGTCTTTTTCCCAAAATGTGTTAAAATGTTTTTATTAAAAAAAGAATCAAAAAAATTTATTGAAGGCTTTATGAGAAAGAAAAGGACATTTTTAAAATTTTATCATAAAAATTCAAAAAACTAAAGTCTAGATCACTTTCTAAATTTGTTTGGGATTACCGGGACATCACTAATGCCTTCTCTTTTTCCTTTTTAGATCGTTTAACCCCCGCTTAAGCATTTTAAATGCTGTTAGTTGAATCATCCTTACAACATCGGAATTTCTCAGGAATTGCCAGCCTTAGTATATTTAGGTAATAGTTTTTAATTATGTATTTTGACAAAGTATAGATTGAAGTGTTAACTATGATTTCCAAAATAATTAAAAATTTTGTCAGTCTTATCTAAAAGTTACAAATTTTCTAGCAATATACATACTAATTTTTTCTAAAAAATGACTGAAAATGAGGTAATCTTTATTGAAAATTGCTAAAAAATTTTTAAAGAAGAACTTCCAAAAATTATATTATTAAATAAAGCACTCCTCAAATTATTTAAAAAATATAATTTATTCAACTTTCGATTTATAAGGATTTATTAAATTCTCCTTTTTCAGTGCATTTTCTGCTAATTGTAATTATATGTCGTAGAAATTTAAGCATGAGCATCTCCAAGTACCTCCTCCACAAAATTATAGCCCCACATATAGCCCCAGTGTATAAATTTTCTACGGAAATGAATTTACTTGTATCTTGTAACAAATTTTATGGACTATCTGAATCGCATAAAAGAAAATTTTTAAATGGCCTTAAGGGGTCGGAAAATTTTTTGCACTGATCGACCTCAATTTCCCGATGATTTTGTGGTTTCCAAATCTCGTCCTTGGGAAGTGTTGAAAGGATCTTTTAAAGTTTATCTTTATTTATTTGTTAGAGATATCCAACATAATTTTTACAGATCTATACGTTCATTGGAAAGAAGAAAAAATAGAAATTCTAGAAGTGCGTTTATAAATAGTTAACACTAATATTTTAAAAGTTTTGTTGTAAAAAATTAACTCAAATGTTTGTGTACTAACTTTTTATCTCATAATGTCACTATAACACATTTTATAACACATTTTTTCATAGAATCTTTGAAAATTTTGAAAGATAAAGTCTTAAAAATATAAAGAAAATATCAAATTTAGATGAACGTTTATCATTATTAAGCACACTTTGCAACAAAAAAGCTGAGTAGTTAAGAAGGATCCTAAAAATTTCAATTATCTCAAAAAATCATTTTGTTCCATTTATAACATATTTTTTCACACAAAACTTTCCAAATTTTACACCTTTAACTGTATCCACAATCTACATTATCAATTAAAATATTCCAAAAATTGCAACAAGGGCAACGAAATATTATTAAATTTATAATAAAATAAATTATATTAAGTAAAGCTATAATTATTTTTATTTATATACCATGCGATTAACCATTAGTAAAGCCCAGATTTGTATGGACGAAACTTGAAGTATAGCATAAAATATGGACAAAAATATTTAACAAAATTGGCAATAAAATGCAATAAATTAAAATTTTCTCATTGCAGCTTTATATGTATTAGGTCATTTCAATATCTTTGTGGTAAGGCTCCTCCTATTGTCAGATAAAATTGACTTATGTATATGACGAAAAAGAATGTTATTGTCTTTGCTGTTTTCACTTTGTTTTGTTAATTAGATGATTGCGTGCGACGAGCTTCAACAGTTTTAGTCTGCTTCTGCTTGCGAGTTTTTAGAAGGTGGTGACAAACAAACTAAAATACATAAAACTGCTGGGCTATAGCTATTACTCTGCTTTAGCTAGTGCAAAAGCTTGTTCGGCGGCTGGGAGCGAACCAGCATCTTCAGTAGAACGGATTGATCTGTTAGACATTACACCACGCCGCCTACTGCACAGCCTTAGGAATTAAATAGCTATATGCTTTGCACTAATCCCAAACAAATTTAGAAAGTAATCTAGACTTTAGTTTTTTGTTTTTTTTGATAAAATTTTAAAAATGTCCTTTTCTTTCTCATAAAGCCTTCATATTTAATTTTCGATAAATTTTTTTGATTCTTTTTTTAATAAAAACATTTTAACACATTTTGGGTAAAAGACGATATTTTGTTAATTTTTATCCTTGGCGATATATTCACTTAAGAACAGTGATAGAAGTTGATGAAAATGGCGAATTATGGACGAAAAAGTG